AATGAGGCAGGCTCCGAAAAAAAAAAAAACACCACCCAAAACCAACAAAAAAAATCCCAAGCCAAACCAAAACACTCAGGCAGAAAACCCCAACCTGATCCCCCCACCCCTGTGGAGCCCCAGATGAGGTTTGGGGTGTTCCTGTGCGAGGTGCTGGGTGCACCTTTAGCCCTGGAGAGCAGGGGGTGGTTTGGGTAAGGAGAAGGGAGCCTGTGGTGGAGGCCAGGGGCTGGGGTCTCAGGAGGTGTGTTCTCTGATGGGGCTAAACCTCTTCCTCAGGAACCCCCCCTGCACCCAGGGAACACTGCAGCCACTTTCCTTCCTCCTCTCTTGTTTCATCTCTCTTACGATGTTTCCAACAGCCCAACCACCACCTTGGGGCTGTAGCTGGTGGTAGTCACAGTGTTCCCTGGGGGTGAGAGTGTTTCTCTCCTCAGGGCTGAGCCCCAGGAGCCCCTGGGCACTGGTGGTTGGAGGTTGAGGTCCTGCCCAAGCTCTTTTCCCCTCCCCTGTTCCAGGTGTTCTCCTACACGGCCGACAAGGAGATCCGCACGGACGACCTGTGCCTGGACGTCTCGCGGCTCAACGGCCCCGTCCTCATGCTCAAGTGCCACCACATGAGAGGCAACCAGCTCTGGGAGTACGATGCTGAGGTACCCACGGCACCCAGGGCAGCTCCACCCCAGAGCCCTGGCCTCAGATCCTGGCCCCATCACGGGCAGGGGGACCCTGGGGACGTGGGGTGTCCTGTCCCGCTACACTCCAGCGCATCGCTGGGATTCGAGTTGTGTTGCCACAAAGTTTTGGGTTTAGAGGGGTGGAAAAGTCACAAAAAGATCGTTTCTAGTAGCTGGTGTCTTGTGTTCTTATAGGCTTAAAGAAGTACCTCTCCTTTGAGGCCAGGCTGAGAGGGTTGGGGGTGCTCAGCCTGGAGAAGAGAAGGCTCCAGGGAGACCTTCTGGTGGCCTTCCAGTAGTTCAAGGGGACCTACAAGAAAGCTGGGGAGGGACTTTTTCCAAGGGCTTGCAGTGAGAGGATGAGGAGTAATGGATTCAGTTTGGTAGAGGGGAGATTTAGAGTAAAAATGAGGAAGAAGTTCTTCCCTGTGAGGGTGGTGAGCCCCTGGCCCAGGTTGCCCAGGGAAGCTGTGGATGCTCCATCCCTGGAGGTGTTCAAGGCCAGGCTGGATGGGGCTCTGAGCACCCTGCTCTAGTGGGAGGTGTCCCTGCCCATGGCAGGGGGTGGAACTGGATGTTCTATCAGCTCCCTTCCAACCCCACCCATTCTATGCTTTTTATGTCAATGAAGTAGAAACCAAGATTTATTTCTTTTCCAGTTTATTTTTTTTCCAGTTTCCTTCTTCTGGCTCTGGGAGATTATTCCCCCTGCACTTAAATTGTGCTTGCTCACTTCCAGTACCCCAGTGCCCTGCTTGGTCTGGTGCTGCTGTGGGACAGGAGGTGGCTTTTCCTGGGCTTGGAGAGGCAGTTGGAAGGCATCAGGTGGTGTATGGAGAGGCTGCAAAATCAACACCCAGGACATGTAGACCTCTCAGTATTTTATGGCCAAATAATTCCTTGGTTTCTAGGAGGCAGCAGGTGGAGATGGAAACATTCATGTCAAGCTTTAGCTGCTCAGTGTGAGTGTGCAGCTCTGCATGGGACATTCCCTTGGAGGTAGCAGCATTTCCCTCAGGGTCAGAGCTTTCTGATATGTCCTGGGAGGAGATAAAAGACCCAAACCTGCCCCTGTGGGACCCTGAACAGCCAAGGAGATAACCAGCACCAAGACTTACCCCTGAGGGGTAATATTTGGTGACTTTTGGCACATTCTTGAGTTTAACATCTGAATTTAAACCAATTTTCTCTTTAATAGAGAAGATTGTTTTCCTCCTTACACCAAATGGGTGTTTATTTTGATCATTTTTAGGTATTCTTGAGGATGTTCAATTAACACCTGAGGTTGAAGATGTTATCTCTTCCTTTGCTTCATTCCTCCAAGCAGGCTGTGGTCCAGTGGTTAGGGAAGTGGTGGGATGAGGATTGAAGCTGATAATCCTGGAGGTCCTTTCCAATCCCAGTGCTTTTGCTCTGATTTTGGGGGGGTTTGTTCAGCCTGGAGAGGTGAAGGCTCTGGGGAGACCTCCTGGTGGCTTTTCAGTGCCTCAAGGGGCCTGGCAGAAAGCTGGGGACAGACTTTTTAGTAGGGTCTGTTGTGCCAGGACAAGGGGGGATGGTTTTAAACTAAAAGAGGGAGATTTAGACTAGAGAGGAGGGGGAAATTTTTGATGTAGAGTTTGGTTCTGAGCACCCTGCTCTAGTTGGGGCTGTCCCCGGGGGTTTGGGCAGGGGTTGGGACTGGTTTTGGAGCCTTCCCCCCCAACCCTGTGATGCTGTGACCCCTGCTGACAGCCCAGCATCCCCTGCCCTCAGGCGTGTGGGCTTTGAAAGCAGAACACCTTGAAATGTCAGGTTTTCAGACTCTTCAGTTGGAATATTTCAAGTTTATCTCATCAATATCTTCAAGGATAAATTTTGAATATTGAATCAATGGTAGTTAAAACTTCCTTTTAATATCATCTTAATGTGCTTCAGCAGGCCAGTCCCAGCCAAGCTCAGGAGAGCCAGAAATTCCAGCTCTCCACTCAAACTGGGGCTGCTCTGGCTCCTGCCCCAGCTCTCACCCTTCCCAGGATCAGGCACTGCACCCATCCAGCCTGGGGCAAAGTTCCTTGGAAACCATTCCAAAAACGAGCCTCCCAGTGGCTTCCCTTTGGAGATTTTGGGGCACAAGCACTGGAAGTGAGTCCCCACCTTGGTTAAGTCGAGCAGAAGGGATCCACAGTGGGAAATGTCTCAGTAGCTGTGTAAGAACAAAATCAGCCATTAGATGGAGCTCATAAAAAAGAAATACAGCAGTTTTATTTTTAATTAAAGGCATCTCCCAGACAAGGGGTTTGCTGTCCATGCTCCAGAAGCAGCACAGCCTCTGTACCTCTTGATTTATTTTAAATATTAGAAGATTTCTGTTGAAAACTCTGCTCCATGAACCTTCAGCTGGCCAACTAGAGTGCAGGATTTTTTTCCTGACACAAAAAATGGCTTGTGAGTAAAGATTTTTTTCCACCCAAACAGTTGCAGCACGTTGCCTCAATCTCTTATATCTATTGCTTTAGGGTTTTTTCAGCAAAATTGCAACTCCTTTTTATGTTTTTTTTTATTCAGAAAGTGAATGAGGGTGATGGATTTCTGGGCATCACACCAATTTTACAGATCACCTCCCCCCCTCCTGCTAAATTTAGGGATAAAGGTTTGATAATGGACAACGGTGCCTTGGCCGTGTCTGCAGGCAGGGGGAGAGGTTTAAAAAAAAAGGAATTAAGGAGTTAAAAAGGTATTTTCCTATACAAACTTTCAGCTAGTCTTTTAAAGAAAGGAATTAAAAAGGTATTTCTCTATACAAACTTTCAGATAATCTGTTA